CAGCAGCACCAGGCCCACCCCCTGAACTCGCACCAGCAGGGGAGGGGTAGGCTTCGCACACACCCCGACCTGCTCCTGGCCGGGCCTGGACACCCCAGTGTTTTCTCACTGCCGCCCGGACTTCTGGGCCTGGGTCTCGAACCCCGTCCAGAGCTGCAGTGAAGGAGAAAGGCTTTTCTCCTTGGAAAAGCAGCCAGGCGGCCGAGCCCACAGCCGTCCCGGGGCACCTTCTGGCTGGGACGGGAAGTGTGTGCGCCAGCAGAGCTGTGACCGCCGTGGACTGGAGTGTCAAGTATGTTAACATCCACTCGCACGCGTCACAAACCACCGCAGACCGGGTGCCTTATAAACCACGGAAGCTTATTTCTCACGGTTCTGGAGGCTGAAGTCCAAGGTCCGGGTGCCAGCCGTGTCGGCCGAGGGCCCTCTCCCGGAGGCAGACGCTGACTTCTGGCGGTGCCCGCACGTGGGGGAGGGGGCTCTCCGCTCTCTTTTCCGAGGGCGCTAACCCCCTTCACAGGGGCTCCACCCTCACGAGCGCATCACCTTCCCAGAGCCCCACCTCTGATCCCATTGCCTTGGGGTTTGCTTTCACCAGGAATGTTGGGGGGAGACACATTCAGTCCAAGGCAGAGGCTGCTGGGGGGCAGCTCGGGACCCTAAACCCTGGGGAAGGGACCGGCAGAGCACAGACTCGGAGGCAGAGGCCGGGGCTCGGGACCCGGTCCAGCTCCCGTGTCCACCTCCCACAGGGACCTAACACAGCCAGGGCGGGGTGGGCAAGAGTAGGCTTACAGTTGTGAGTACACCAAGCACAGCGTTCGTTCTTTTATTGTTTAATTACTGTTTTGTTTTCCATGTGGGCACTGTAAACCTACTTTTGCCCACCCCGGTATACGCTCCTGGGACATACGTGTGCCATAAAGGTTAACTGTAAACGTCACCCCCCACGTCCTCCCCCCTGAGCTGCTCCCCTGCTCCCCGACATGAGCCCCGACCATCAGCCAGGCCCCCATGATCTCAGAGTTGGTTTCTAAATCCCCTCGCACCTCCCTGCACCATCTTTGTGAGATGGGACGTGAGGCCGACCCAGGTGAAGGACCTAGAGCAGTGATGGCGAACCTGTGACACGCGTGTCAGAGGTGACACGCGAACTCATTTTTTTGGTTGATTTTTCTTTGTTAAATGGCATTTAAATATATAAAATAAATATCAAAAATATAAGTCTTTGTTTTACTATGGTTGCAAATATCAAAAATTTCTATATGTGACACGGCACCAGAGTTAAGTTAGGGTTTTTCAAAATGCTGACACGCCGAGCTCAAAAGGTTCGCCATCACTGGACTAGAGCCACACGGGGCAGCGGGCACAGGTTCCAGCGGGCAGTGGGGCCCGGCAGGCCAGCCGGGCGGGTGGGAAACAGGAGCCAAGCGTCAGGGCCTGGGGGTGCCCGGCAACCTATTCCTGCTTGAGATCCTGGTCAGTGAAGGCAGTGGGCCGGGGAGCAGCCTGGGTGGCCCTCCCCCTGCTCCAGAGATGGGGCCGTGGAGTCGGACCCTGTGGAGAGGAGTCGTGAGGTTCCATCGGCGTCCCGCCTGCGCAGCCTCCTCGGCCCGTGTTGCTAAGGGGTCCCTGGTGGGCCTGGGGGTGGGTTGGAGGTCTCGGTGCTGAGCCCAGGCCTGTCCTGGGGGCTCTCACACTGACCACCCCTCTCCCCTCCCCGACCAGAGCTGAAGATCCCAGACAACGCCAACGTGTTCTACGCCATGAACTCTGCCGCCAACTATGACTTTGTCCTGAAGAAACGGGCCTTCACCAAGGGGGCCAAGGTCCGGCATGGCGCCAGCTCCACTCTCCTCCGCATGAAGCAGAAGGGACTCAGGATTGCTAAGGGCATCTTCTAGCTGGTCCCTGGCGCTGCCCAGCCACAGGGCTGCCCGTCGACAGGCTGACCTGGCCTCCCGGGACCACTCGCCGCCTTAGGTGCCTTCCGCTCTCTGGAGCCAGAGGCCTAGCCGACCTGGCCCAGGAGCGCTGCGACGGGGCACGGAGCCCTGCCCGCCACTGGGCACGCCCTCGCTACACCTCCCTCACCCCTTCCCAGGTGTGGGTCACTGCCACCTGTGCCCACGGGCAGCCCAGGGCACCCGCTCATCCACTGGATCTGACCACTGCGGTTCTCTCCTCGTGCCCACGGACACCGGCCGTGCCATTCACGGGGCCCGGCCCCTCTACCACTCGAGCCTTCCGCAGGCTGCACCAAAGATCCACCGTCAGGCCACGGAGTGCGGGAGCCCCGCACGCGAGCCCGGCCCCCCTCGGAGATGAGGGACCCTCCTCACCTGTGAGTGAGGACCAGCCCCGGGAGTCCCCCGGCGCCACGGCCTGAGTGCCATTCGCCACTGCCTCCTGGGCTTCTCGGGACCACACGGGCGGGGCCGGGGGAAAGGAGGATTGGGGGGAAGGGAGGTGGTGGATATTTGTATAAAAGGCAAAAATCATGTTTACCAGTTGGGGAGGGGCAATATTTATTTGTTGTAAATAGTAAATGCTAGACTTGGATATTATATTAAAACCCTGTTTCTACGATAGCCCTGGAGAGGGCACTTTTGTTCTTTGATCTGTGCTCCTTTATTTGTTAAAAAAATGTATTTTTATTGATTTCAGAGAGGAAGGGAGAGAGAGAGAGAGAGAGAGAGAAACATCAATGATGAGAGAGTCATTGATCGGCTGCCTCCTGCACACCCCCCACTGGGGATCAAGCTCACAACCTGGGTATGTGACCTGACCAGGAATCGAACCTGTGACCTCCCGGTTCACAGATCAATACTCAACCACTGAGCCAGGCTGGCCAGACACGTCTGTGCTCCTTTAAACGACACGCAGTCGCCCGGTCTGTGTTCAGACAAGAAGCTGTGGGGGGCTGTCGGCTTCTCTGCAGGAGGCAGACGGGCGGCCGTCTCTGGCTCCCACAGACACTCCCCCCCGCCCCCCGTTCCACCTTCCACAGGGTGTGTGGTGACTGGGGCATCGTCAACCTGCGCAGCGAGCTGAGACCGAACCCGCAGGACCCCTGGTGGGAGAGGGCGAGGGGCTTTCACAGGGCATAGCGACCACCTCTGAAATATGGGTGTCTTTAAAAATTACACTGGTGATCCCGTCTCTCTCACATCAATGCTTCTTTCCCTCCCTCCCTCTCTAAAAAAAAAATCAATTAAAAAAGAAAAGAAATATCTAGAATAGGCAAATTGAGACAGGAAATGGAGTAAGAAGCTCCGGGGGTCATCGCTCCAGGAGACAGCCATCAAGCTGGGAGGGGAACCTACCAGAATCACCACATGCGGGGCTCTCGCGCCTCATCAGACACAGCAGCCGGGGTGCCGGACCCGGCCGTGCCGCTGCACCGGACCAGGTGACAAGGTCTCTGCCGGGTCACACGCTGACCACAGAGACCAGGGGACAGGGGCCAGGGACAGCACACCACAAGCGATGCCGGCTTCGCCGGGGAGTTAGCACAGGGACGGGCTGCACCCTCGGCCCCCAGGCTCCCGCCCATGGTGCTCAGCACCCGCCGCTCCGCAACCGACAGGCCCAGGAGACCAGCCTTGTTCCAGGGAAAGAGATTCACAGACTCGGACGCGGAAAGGCCTGACCAGGCTCCCGTCCTCAGGGCCCTGCGGGCGGCGTTACTGAGGACTTTTCAGAAATAAAAAGGCTTCTGAGAGCATCAAACACCATACGCTGGGATGTCACTCAGCCACAAAAAGGAGTGGCTTCTGATCCCCACGACAACAGGGCGTCCCCGGAAAACAGGATTCCACGTTCAGCGGGTGTCTCCGCCTGGCCGGGTGGCTCCGTTGGAGGGAGCATCATCCCACTCACCAGAAGGTCGTGGGTTCAATTCCCAGTCAGGACATACACCTGGATTGTGGGTTCGATCCCCTGTCTCTCTCTCACTCCCTGTCCCCCCTCCCCCCCCAAAAAAAATCAATAGCCCGGCCGGCGTGGCTCAGCGGCATCGACCTATGAACCAGGCAGTCACGGTTCGATTTTGTCAGGGCACAGGCTCGGGTTGCGGGCTCCATCCCCAGTAGGGGGCGTGTAGGAGGCAGCCAGTCCATGATTCTCTCTCATCATTTATGTTTCTATCACTCCCTCTACCTTCCTCTCTGAAATCAATAAAAATATAAGAAAAATAAAAACAAATCAATAAAAAAAGAAATATCTAGAATAGGCAAATTGAGACAGGAAATGGAGTAAGAAGCTCCGGGGGTCATCGCTCCAGGAGACAGCCATCAAGCTGGGAGGGGAACCTACCAGAATCACCACATGCGGGGCTCTCGCGCCTCATCAGACACAGCAGCCGGGGTGCCGGACCCGGCCGTGCCGCTGCACCGGACCAGGTGACAAGGTCTCTGCCGGGTCACACGCTGACCACAGAGACCAGAGGACAGGGGCCAGGGACAGCACACCACAAGCGATGCCGGCTTCGCCGGGGAGTTAGCACAGGGACGGGCTGCACCCTCGGCCCCCAGGCTCCCGCCCATGGTGCTCAGCACCCGCCGCTCCGCAACCGACAGGCCCAGGAGACCAGCCTTGTTCCAGGGAAAGAGATTCACAGACTCGGACGCGGAAAGGCCTCAGAGTTAAGTAGGGTTTTTCAAAATGCTGACACGCCGAGCTCAAAAGGTTCGCCATCACTGGGCTATAGCGTTCGGACAGGTTCAAGCCTGGGACCAGTGAGAGGGCAGGTCCTCTCGAGGCAAAGCCACGGGCAAGTCCCAGCACAGTGATGGCCAAAGGCTGTAGTTGTGAGCCTGACCTTATGGTCCGCACCTGTGGCCCCACGTGGCTGAGTGACGTGGGCTGCGGAGGTGCAGCAAGTAAACAAAGCTTGACCAGGTGCATGTCATTGAGTGGATTCGAAACCCGAGAATTGTAACCACGCCCTTACTGTGCCTCGTGGAATCCGATAAAATAAAGACTCGGCTTGCAGGCGTGGCGCTGTCTCTCCATCCGAGAGGAGCCTCCCACCCAGACCCAGCTTTCTCCTCTTGTCTGTCTTCTTCATCCTTCACCGCCCCCAGTTCACCCCTGGCCTTGCCGGCTCGGCACACTTCATGTATGTATATTTTACTCCAATTTTTTAAAATTTAAATACTTTATTGTTGAAAGTATTACATGTCTCCCATTTCCACCATTGCTGTCTCCCCAGCCATCCCTGTCCCCCAGCACCTGTCCCCGCCCCCCTACTACCTGTGTCCTTCGGTTATGCGTATATGCCCCCATACAAGTCCTTTGCTTGATCTCTTATCCACCCGCCACACCACCCCCTTACCCCAATTCTTAAAGAGTAACAGTTGCAAGGACCAGCTCCTGAGCCGGGACGGGGCTGCCTTCCTTTGGAGGGAGAGGGAGGCGTTGGGCTGGGCTGTGGTTCCTGCTGCCCACCAGGAGGAATTGGGAGATTTCAAGTTCAGAACGGAACCCACCCGCACTGAGTGGGGGAGTGTGGACAGATCACAGCCTGTCACTGGAAGGCGAGGCGGGGAGCACTCTGTTGGGCGGACCTCGCATTCTGTTCTCCGGGGCCCGGGCCTTCCTTTACCGGATTGGAACCCTCCGGGAACCCTGTGTTGGGAAGGCCTCTGAGGCGGTGTTGTGTCCTGGGATGGATTTGTGATGCAGCTTATTTAAGGCGACAGCTGGGCCCTGGGAACCAGGATCTGCCGCTCTTCACTGGCTTCATTTTCATGGGGAAAGTGAGACATTTTGGGCGGCTAGCACTCTGAATCTGTGCCAGTAACCTAACGCACATTCCTGTTAGCCTATAGGCTAGTCACTGCCTCTTCCTTAATTATCTGGTCTTGCAAGACCTGTTTACCTAAGTACTACTCCCATTTTAAACGTGCTGATTCCTGCCCCCTCCCCGCTGGCCCAAGGAACCCAGGGCTGTGAGGTCTGAGGTCCTCGTCTCGGGCTGTCACCAGTTTAGACTCCCTGGTCCTGAAGGGAAGACGGGCTGGAGCCCTGAGAGCCCGCAGCCCCTGGCTGGCTGCCCTCGCTGTCCAGGGCTGTGCTGTGGTTCTGCCATGGGGAGGTGGGCGCTTGGAACCTCTCGTGGGGGAGGTGGAAGGATGGGGCAGGGAGGGCGGGGAGGAACACCACCCACACTGCCCGCTGTTCCCGCCGCCGGGCCAGGGAAACACTGGACCGTGTGCATCAGGGTGGCCGGCTGGTGCCCTGAGCTGCCCCTGCCATGCACACCCCCAGCAGGAACCTTCTCTCCTCTGAGCCCTCACGCCTGCTCTGAGCTGACCTGGTAGCTTTGGCGTCTCAGACCTGGGCTTGAGTCCTCGCTGTGAGGGCCTGGGGCAGGTGACCCCTCTTGGAGCCCTGGCGCTGTAGGACATGGGCCGGCATGGCCAGCTTCTGAAGGAAGCGGTGGCTGAACCTCCCCAGGCACAGAGAAGGGAGCGGGAGGGACCAGGATGTGAGACCAAGGCCCTGTGGGTGTGGGCTGGCCTCATGGTGGAGACCCTCCAGGCACCGGCCTCAGCTAGACAGGGGGAGGGGAGGCAACTAGAAAAGGCCTCAGCCCAATTTTATTAAATGGCCCAATGGGAGAACCTAGTGACGTGTCAGGAAACAGCTGAGCCCATAGCACGCAGCCAATGAGGAACCAGAGGAGGGCCCATTAAGTGGACGGTGTCCCTGCCCCAGGTGAGGCTGTGCAATGGGCGGACACCCGCTCTCCAGAGCGCATTCAAGGTCTCGCTTTCACCGCACTTCTGTCTCCGAGTCCCTATTTGAGTTCGGACAGGTGAGCATGTCTCACAGTAACTGTCCACAACGGGGTGTCCACATGCCCACCGCCCGGGCCATGTGAGGTCAGGATGGGGGAGCCCTCGGTGCAGGCGGTGCCCCGCCCCAGACCTTGCTGAGGTGGCCATGGCCCTGCGTCTCACCTCTGCCTCCTGCTCCCATCCGGACTCTGCCAGAGCCAGCGGGCAGCACCCCTGGCCCTGCCCCGGGGCACCCAAGGCCCAGCCCTGTACCCTCTGCTCTGAGCCCAGCGGGATGCGTTACTGTCTCTGCCTGGGATCCAGCTGGAGGCGATTCCGTTTCCCTCCCAGGCCATTCCCTGTTAGATAGAGCCCGCTCCCCGCACCCTGAGGTGGTGGCCGAGGCTGGGTCCATTGCGCTGGTCCAGAGGCAACTGCCCACGGGGCCGGGGGCCCCACTCAGGACCAGCAGCCTGAGCTCAGACCTGGCGCTGACGCCTCTCTGACCCTCTTTCCTCCGCATAAATGAGGGGGGCACCCCACTTCCTGAGCAGGACACAAGCAGAGACTGGGCGGGCAGCTGAGATCATGAGGGCAAAGAGGGTTGCCAGAGGGAGAAGCGGCTTTATTCAGGAAGAGCTGGGGAGGGAGGTGGCCTCTTGGGACAGGACATTAGAGCCGATGGCTGCGGACATCTGAGCCCCCTCAGAGTCATCAGTGGGGGCCTCGGAGGACGCCCTCAGAGTTGTCCGAGGGGGGCACAGGGCCAGCCCCGTCTCCGTTCACGGTGGGCAGTGCCTGGTAGG